CTTCTTCCGGGTCTCCCCCATGGGTGCTTTCCCAGGAGCATTAGCAGAGAGCTGGATCAGAGCAGAGCAGCTGGGACTCCAACTGGTGCCCATATGGGATGCTGGCACTGCAGAGAGCAACTTAACATGCTGCACCGCAGCGCCAGCTCCATACATCACTCCATTTCAACAGCTGTCAACCCCTGACCAATCCTGTCTCCCTAATGTCCCACCCACTTTTTTTACCTTCAGGGCTACTTGAAGCAAATTCGAGACAATATATCATGTCCTCCATAAATATGTCAATTAAATGCTACTTACATAAGTCATTCAGAGGAGTACCTATTTGGTAGTACTTTTTTTTTTAAAGATCTATTTTTCTTAGCTGATAGGCAGAGTTACTACTGTCCCAGGCAATCAGCAGGGAGCTGGATCAGAAGTAGAGCAGCCAGGACTCAAACTGGTGTCCATATGGGATGCCAGCACCACGGGTGGAGGTTTAAGCTACTATACCACAATGCCAGCACCCTCCCCCCTTTCTTAAAGATTTATTTATTTATTTGAAAGGGAGAGTTACAGACAGAAAGAGGTAGAGACAGAGAGAAAGGTCTTCCATCTGCTGGTTTACTCCCAAATGGCCGCAATAGCAGGAGCTGGGCCAATTCGAAGACAGGAGCTTCTCCTGGGTCTCCCATGTGGATGCAGGGGCCCAAGCACTTGGGCCATCTTCCACTGCTTTCTCAGGCCATCAGCTGAGAGCCGGATCAGAAGAGGGGCGGCCAGGACACGAAATGGCATCCATACGGGATGCCAGCACTGAGGGCGGAGGCTTAGCCTACTATGCCACAGCACTGGCCATTTGGTAGTGTTACAAAGATTTAAAAGTGGGGTCCTTCCTTATAGCTCAGGAAGAGAAGCAAGAATGCTTATCTCTATTTCTTTATGCACAGTGGTAGAGGAATGTTACATACTTTCCCTTCTGGTATCTAATCTATTCGTAGTCTCTGGATAGGGGGATATGGACTGAAACAGGTAAGATTAGCACAGAATTTTCTACTGACTGAGAAAAAGGAATCTCAACACCTCACAACCTTGAACAGAGACCCTAATATGATGCATGTGGCTGCTAATGATTGTCAGATTCCTTCTTTCCTCTTATCAATGTTATTAAGCCAGCCATGTCAGGCAGCCAACTGTCCCCGCCTGAGCAGGAGGCCAGCTGGGGCCTCAACTGCCAGATGCTGCCACATAAGATCCAATTGGTGTTTCTGCAAAACCAAAACAGCAAGCTCCACTCTCAAAGGAAACTTTCTTCCTTACAAATAAATCTTGGGCACAAAACTGTCTCAAAAAGTGATGAGAACCAGGTTGTACACTAACAAAATAATATCACACTCATCAGCTCTTGTTGCCAGGTTGCACAATACTATAATGGATCCATAAATCTATGCAGCTATCCATGGCGCCAACAACAGGGGACGGGGTAGTTCCAAATCGTCTGAGACGTTGTAAAAATTGTCTGCGGACAATAAAGCAGGCTGGCAAGTTTATGCTGTCCCTAGAGGCTTCCCAGTGAAAAGTGGGTTAAGGCAGCTCCCAGCACATGGTTTTATTCTGCAAACAAACCAGGAATCAGGACGCACATGCACTTATGCATGCGTCATGTACTTGATGAAGTTAACATTTCGTGACACTGAGGCCTGTGTGATAAACCTTCTGTTTTACAAAGGCATGCTGAGTACAAGATGGCCCAAGTCCTTGGGCCCCTGCACCCACGTGGGAGACCTGGAAGAAGCTCCTGGCTCCTGGCTTCGGATCAGCACAGCTCCAGCCATTGCGGCCATGTGGGGAGTGAATCAGCAGATGGAAGCCCTCGCTCGCTCTCTGCCTCTCCTCTCTGTAACTCTGCCTTTCAAATAAATAATCTTTTTCAAAAAAATAAAATAGGGCCAGCGCCGCGGCTCACTAGGCTAATCCTCTGCCTGTGGCACCAGCACACCAGGTTCTAGTCCCAGTTGGGGCACTGGATTCTATCCTGGTTGCTCCTCTGCCAGTCCAGTTCTCTGCTGTGGCCCGGGAGTGCAGTAGAGGATGGTCTAGGTCCTTGGGCCCTGCACCCGCATGGGAGACCAGGAGGAAGCACCTGGCTCCTGGCTTCGGATCGGCACAGTGCGCCAGCTCTAGCAGCCATTTGGGGGGTGAACCAACGGAAAAGGAAGACCTTTCTCTCTGTCTCTCTCTCTCTCTCTCACTGTCCAAAAAATAAAATAAAATAAAAATATAAACAGACGTGCTGAACTCTATTTCCAACTACACATGGTCACATGAGCCAACCTAGCCTCCTCATTCTACAGATGTGTGCAATCTCTAAAAGGCTGTGTTAATATGGGTTTCAAAAGTCATGCGACAAATATTTTCTGAGCCATACTTTGCTCTAAGCACATAGTATACATCAGTGAACAAAATACATGTTAAAATAAGAGTGTCAATTGTTAAATCAACAGCAGGAGTCACTGTGCACTTGCTCCTCATGTAGGACCTCTGTCCTTAATGTGTTGTACTATGCGAGTTAACAGTAAAACTAATCTTCAAACTAAAAAAAGAAAAAAAAGAAAAAAAGAAATCAATACTAGATTAGAATGCAGGACATGCTACGGGAAACAAAATACATAGTGCCCGGAAGTAGAACAGAGTGAGGTTGGAGCCAATGCCGGAGCGGGCGAGGGGGTCAGCCAAGTGGGCAGGTAGAAGCAGAGTGGCCCTGACAAGGGAACCCTTGTGGCAAACATCTCCAGTGGTCATATGGGTGGCGTGTTTGAGGAAAAGCACCAAGGGAGGGAGTCCCAGAGTAATGGGGGCCGGGTCACCTGGGCAGCAACAGGACTTTCACTGTCGTCCTTAGGGGAGCCTTGGCAGAGTGGCATGATCAGTTTTCAGAGGCTCGCCCTGGCTTTGCTGAGACTAGAGTGTAGGGAGAAGCAAAGAGGCAGGAAGCTCTATCAGGAATCAATGGAGCTGATGAGAGGCAGGTGGATGCTAGACATACTTGGGAGGCAGCACTCAAGGGGTTTCCCAGGGGCTCTGTCCTGAGCAAAGGGAAAAGGGTAGCACCACCTTCAACTGAGATGGGGAAAGCTAGGGGGACGGAGGGGGACGACGATGGTTCGGGGTTTGGACAAAGTGATTTGCATTTAAGATCTCCAAGAAGAGATACTGAAGTAGGCAGCTGGAGACATGCCTCTGGGATTCAAGGAAGAAGTGTGCTCAGACAGAAACCTGGCAGTATAATATTTGATGCTGACATTCCTATTAATAATAACTCAATTGCTGGGGCTGGCATTGTGGCACAGTGGGTGAAGTCGCTGCCCACTACACTGGCACCCCACACCAGAGCACCAGTTCTACTGCAAGCTGCCCTGCTCCTGATCCAGCTCCCTGCTAACACACCTGGGGAGGCAGCAGGAGATGGCCCAGGTGCTTGGGCCCCGCACCCGTGTGGGAGACCTGGATGGAGTTTCCTGGCTCCTGCTTCAGCCTGACCCCGACCAAGGTGTTGCAGCCTTTGGGGACGGAAGCAGATGGAAGATCAGTGTCTGTGTCTGCGTCTGTCTCTCTCCCTTTTCAAATAAATCTTTACAAACTGAATTATTATTCGCAGCTAAAACAAATGAACACAGAAAGTGTTCATCTACACAAAGAGGAAAAAGATGAAGAATCAGAAAACAAAGAAAGAAAGAAATTATTTGCTTATTGAGTCAACAGTCATGTTCATTGCAACCGCTGGAATAAAATGAAGGAAAACCATATCCACAGTCCCTTCCCAAACTGGGGCTGATCTCTAAACATTTCCAGGAATCTGAATGTAGCCACGTGAAATAGAAGTGAGCTCACAAGCTAGTCCAGTAACCAGATAATCTTCCAATCCTGAGAAATAGCATACATTGATTACTGAAAGCAACAATGCTGGCTCAGAGAAGTTTCAACAAAAGCAGTGTTTAAGTGACTCAGTGTTTAATTTCTAGTTCTCTGCCCTTTTCTGCCTTATTCATCTCTACGGGGATTAAGCATTCAAAAAGCTGCCCTTTCAGGATTTGTTTCTACTGTGTGCTAACACTGGGCAACGCTGCTGGGGTGGGGGTGGAAGGTCTGCAGCGGCAGAAGATGATGCCAGCTCTAGAATTTCATCTCACCCAACAATGCAAGCACATAAAAGCCACTGATCACCTACATCAGAGATGTTGCCAATATGCCATCCCCCAAACCTGCTGGCACAGAAGTCCAAGCAAAAATGGCACCAGCAAATCCAATTAATGAACATTCCTTAAGCACAGCACGAGTGTTACCTTACTGTAACTTGGAAAATTCCACAGTACTTATCAACTCCTAAGCAAGGCTATGATATTAGAAGTGTACCACAGTAGACGTCACTGGCAGCCACAGGTACCAGGGCCCTGAGTGTGTTGCCGTGGCAACCGCGTACTCAGCAGCAACAAGCTGGCTGCCTCTTGCCAGAGGCAGAAGGAAACAGCCAGCCTCCTGATGGGAGCAACCCAGGGAGCCACAACACAGGCCTCTCCATCAGTCACACAGGCGGGAGACTGCCTTGCAGCAGGCTGGGATTGTCTCCACCCCAGCCTTAGAGGGAAAACTCTGCTGCAGCAGCCAAGTCAACGCACCCGAGCATGAAGCACGAGAGAAACGTACAAGGAGGAGAGAGAGACTGGCGACTGTCTGAAGGGTGCCAGGGTCACGTGTTTAGCTGGCTCCAAAGGATGGAGAAGCACTGGCCATTTGAAAAGCCATCAGAGAAACAGTCCCTGGGGAAGAGAGCAGGACATCAGGGACCAGGCGACCATTCCCACGCAGAGGGAAGGCCTCAAAAGGGGGGAGAGGACCAGCAGCTGGCACATGAGGACACCAAAACCCTCAAGAGGCATCACCGGCTTCTCACACCGACACCCACCATGTACTTTCAGATATTCCACATTAGGGTGAAATAAAACAGGAACTGTCAAACATACCTTTTCCACTGGCAGGAAGTCGTTTTCTACTTCAATTGACCTTGGTCTTAGTTTGATTGGCTTGTCTTTGAAAATATCTCCAAAGCCCACTCCCTTAACTTTCTTGGGTTGGATGGCTGCAGTTGCTACCGTCCCATTGGCACCTTCCGATTTGGTACTGCTCGAGTCACCCCCATCACTCTCGGAGCCTGTCGTTTCCCTTAAACCTGTCAAGAGGGGGGAGGGGGGAGAAAGAGCTCAGAAATCAGCCAGAGCCCTAAACGACTCCATTAGCAGTCAGCGGTCACCTGTAAAAGTGTCACCGCACACAGGATAACTCGTACTGGACGTGTGTATTCGTCGTCTTGAGTATGCTGAGGATGGCTTGTCCTGAGATTTTTGTTGTTTTTTTTTTTTTTTCCAATCCCCCTACCCTCAGCCTTTAATTTTCAGTAGAGAATCAAACACAACTTTCCAGATACTTAATTCCAAAGCAGACCTCTTCCTACATGTGAAATTTCAGCCCTCTTCAGCCGGGCCTGCTCGCGATCCAAACTTGTTTTGTTGTAGCCTGGGCAACAGCCACCCTAGCACCCATCCCCGCCTCCCCACCCCGGAGGTACCGCACACTGTACCTCCAATCTCTCTGACTCATGTCAATTAGCAATTAGCAATGAAAGGAGCATTTCCTAAAGGGAAACTGTAAAGCTAAAAGCCATTTAAACAAATTAGCAATTAAAGAAACCACACAAAATTTTGACTGCCAAGGAATTAAATCTCTTTGGATGGCTTCACAAGAAATAACTGCATGCAGACACGTGTTTCTAGGAAAGCATTAAACCACACTTGACATGAAGCCGATTTCACCAGCAAGGTGATGGCGTTTGTTAGAGGGAAAGGCAGCCGCCCTCCCAGAGGCCAGAACGCCCCATGCTCTTTGTCTCTCCTTTAACACTATGGCCTTCCCCAAGCTGAATCCCATTCCTCAGAATGCTGGAGACATGACACTCTTCCTCTGACTGCTTGTGACATATGTGGGAAGGCACAAAACAGTTATCAGCAAGACAACAGGGACACATCACCTCCCCAGATTCTTTTCTCGCCCAGGCTCTGCCCACAATCAGGATCCTGAAAGGAAGAGCCTATTAGTACCAAGTTAATGCCTGGGGATACACGCACCCTTTGGTGGTCAGTGTATTAATTAGGCCATCAAAGGGTAGGATTCAAAGGAGAGCTTATGGAATATCAAACTGTGTCCCTAAACCTGTCGCTAAAAGCCTCTAGATGATAGGATAGCTCCTGTATGATGTCTCCTGATCATACAGATGCCCTTGGGATGAACATGTGCCATCAAATTCTGTTCTCTATTAGGCAATCAGGTATTATCTTCCCACAGGTGAGGTGGCCTCCTACTCTCAAAGAATGATATACCAAACACATTACAAAATGTTGGAGTCAAACAAATAGGAAGTCTCAGTGCAGGAAGAGACTGTTCAATGAAAACACAAAATACAGACAAGGTCATTATAAATTGCTAACAAATTTCAAAGTCAAATCCTGAAAAACAATGGTTTTGCTTGTTGTTGTTGCTGTTTTTCATAAAATGGTATTTTTGAGCCAAAACAGTGGGGGAGGAGGAAGACCCTTGGTACACATTTTCATTAACTAACGAGCAGCATTCGTGAGCAAGAACAGAGGACAGCACAATGAGGAACAGCCCACAACAAGGGGGTTGGCTGCAATTCACAAGTCAGGATTTGAGTGTGCAAACACGGAGAGCTCCCCCAGGAATAGCTAGCCATCCGTGGGTTTATCTGTTCATTGTTTCTGGTGATATCGTTGCTGAAGATAGCATTTTGGAGTCTAAATATTGTGTCATTTCTCCTTTAACAAGTTCGTTTTGCTGTGTGGATTCTTTCTACGTAATAAATGGCCTGTATATTCTTTTTCTGGTTTGGGAAGAGTCATTTGAGGGCGAAAGAAAGAAAAGGTTAGTGGAAAGAAACCATCAGCTCTCCCTCCCCCATCCCCACCCCACCAGCAGCAGCACCACCACCAGACAGCAGCAGGGCAAATGGATTAGCTCTCCAAGGGCGGAATCTGCGGGGTTCTTCTATCATTAACATTAGCCAGAACCACAGGGTTTTCCACCACTGCCATCCTCATTTCCCGGAGCTCTGGTTCTAGGGATTTGCTGCCTTCTGGACTTATCTTAATAATGTGTTAATCACGTGAGGGAAGTACCCCACATTAGGCAGGGAGAGGCTGCATAGTTATCCAACCATACAAGCATGACCTGGGAAGAAAACACACAGCAGCTTTTTCTTCCAGAAATTCTGTAGTCTGGTTCTAGCACTTGTAAGTATGTAAGTTAAATATTTAAATTACCTGCATTGGTGAAATGGCTCAAAATGTAGTTTTTATATTATAACTCAAAATATAGTTCCTGTTTTTTGGAGGGAAAGAAAGGGGCCTTCATTTTCATGTCTCTGTGGTGTCGTATATTTTAGTTATCGGTACCCATTATGCACATTATGCTATAAAACATACCCACATCCTGTTCACAATGCCAGGTGACACTCTCAGGCAGTGCAACCCAGCCTGCGAACTGCGGCCTGGGGCCAGTTCACCGAGGGCTGATTACCAGTGTGCAGTGAGCCAAGTGCAAAAAGTGCGCAGATTTGGAAACACCTTTAGCATTTTAGCAGCGTGCACTGGCCTGACCTCTGGACGTGTGACCAGGGGACCTGCCTAGGTTAACAGGGTACAAGAGCCATCCAGGAGCTGGCAAACTCCCGCAGTGAGGCGTGGGCAGCCAGAACACCACATGCGAAGTCATGTCCTATGCAGGAGGACCATGCATCTGTCTAAGGCAGACTAGAAAGAAAATAAAGGTGAACAGGGACCGTAGGAGAAGCACAGCTCTGCTGTTCGTGTCAGAAGCCTCTGTTTCATCACATCCACTGCACTACATATGTGCACGTGCAGACGTGTATATGCACTCTAAGGTGGATGCTTTCCTTCTAGCTGAGCAAAACACAGCCTCCTTGAATTTGTTTCCACCACTCCCATAACTGTCCGTTTTCGTGTAATTTACCCTACTCTGCTTCAATGGATCTCTTCAGATCCATGAGGCGTCTTTTTCTGTCTATAATTTCATATACACATATAGAATGTACCATGTGGCCAGAACTGTTCTAAGGCCATTATGAGATCAATGCATTCATCTCATTCATTTCCTTCCCCTCAACTTTTGGCAGCCTAATTTCACAAACACAATAGGCTGGCTACACACTGGTCCTGTCCAGAGAAGTCTGTTGTGTGGTGATTAGCTGCACAAGCAAAGCAAAACTCCATTTCTGGCATGGACTTTCATGCCAAAATCTTATTTTGTTGAATCGCACAATGACAAAATGGTTTACTGATTTCCAATGACCACTCCAAAAAAGCAATAACCATGAGAGGTTGATGTTTCTATGGGAAGCCATCTCATACCACCCCAGAAGCCCAGAGATACTGGCACAAATACATATGCCATAACAAATGCCACTGCTCCCTTCTCTGCACGCATGGTCATGCACGCATGTCACACATGATAGAGGCACAAAGCAAACAAGAAAGCACAAGGGGCCAACGCTGGGAAGGCTCCTGTAGCACACACCAAGGAGATGGCTCTTATCTTGGGCAAAATAAGTCCATGTCCTTGGATCAGAAATTCACAAAGACACTTGGCATAAGCGCGAGCAGCTCAGGATAGGACAGCTGCATCAAAAAACACAAGTCCCCAGATCTTATCTTTACAATTGCCTCCTGCTGTTAAGGTCACTCACTGTAATAGCGTCTGTGGCCCTCCGTCTTTCCCGGCGCAGCTCGGTACAGAATTGTCCCTTCAAAGGTAGTCTTTCCTGACAGTGAATGAGAGAAGAGAAGGGGAGAGAAAAACAGAAGGGGAAGGGGAGCAAATGATGGCAAAAGAAGGAAGAGGAAGAGTCTTTAACTGAACTTGCCTTCAGTGAGCCCACTGCAAGAGCTTCACCCACAAAATTCATCAGACACCATTAGGCAGGATTTAAGACCGTCACAGAATGAGCCCGAAGTCCCCATGCAGACAAGATGGCACTGAGCACCCAGAAGAGGGGCGGCCTCTGCAACTGGGCATGTAGGTTATGCCCAGTTCAAACCTGGAAAGCATTTCAATGTTGTAACTCAAGAAAATGAAAACCTCAATTAACTAAGGGGAATCCAATATGCTGGATTCCTTAATTAACTCAACTCTACAAGACAGTCTTCTCTTTGGAGGATCTGACCTGAGCATGATACAGATTCAGGCCCATTGTCCTTTATCTTCTATCCCTAGTGCTCTATATGATAAAAATTGATATTCACGCCTTCAAGATTCTAAATAAGACACAGAATTCTCTGCCACAAATTGATCAGCCTCAGCATATTTATGCAAGTAAATGTACTGGTATATTATAGGGGAAGTTTTACCAATCAGGTTTGCAACCAACAGTGGCATCCCCATCAATGGAAAGGGTTTTCGGCTTAGTACTAAGGGCACCAGAAAACCCTGTTTACTAAAACATCTTAATTGAGGTTGTGCCTTATCAGTCAGGAGACTGCTTCTGAGCATGAGGACATAGGACTCACCCCAGTAGGAAATGTCAAATTATCTTTTTTATTCTTTTTACAAGTAGAGGTTATCAATAACAGGAGACTGAACACACGGCTAAAGCCCAAATGTCTCTTAAGTACACAGAATACACACATATTGCCCAGTTTCAGTGTGCTCACACCCACCCACCCACCCACCAGTAGACACTCACACACATACATACAAAGGCTGTACAGAGAGTATCAACAGTGGGTGAAATGATCTGTTAAAGGCAAACTCAATTAATACATGCATACTTGAAATTATCTAAGAAATCAGTTCAATTATGGCTTGTGAATTCAATACTCAAACTGAAGACCAGTAATAGAGCTTCATAATAGGGCTGAGAGATGAAAACAGGTGGTCTCTATTTATAGAGAAGCAGAGAGGGAAAGTGAGGGGAGAGAGCAACTTGTCTCACTTTTTAGAAACACTCCACGTGAAAATGGGAAACTCAAAAGGAACCATAATGATAGCTTCTGGGCCTTATCACTCCTAATAGATGAAGGAAATGGGGAATGATCAGACCAAAAACTGGAGCAGCATCAGCTATTTCCAATTTCTGTAACATGATGGTGGTATACCCTTATTTTAAAATCTGGCCTCTTCAACAGGTATGCTCCATCCAATTAAAGCAAAACCTGAGGCACTCAAATCACTGGCTAGCTATGTCAGAACAACCCAGAGAAGTATCAAAGTATATCAAATGTTCTTGTTAAATTTGCAGCTTTTGAGGACTTTGATATCAAAAGCAGAGCAAGTACCAGCAACCAGTTTTTATTTGAACAAATTTTTACTCTGCTTCATCTTAATCATTAAGTAAATATCACTCCTGAGGTACACAGCCATTTTGTGAGTGAGAATAACAGTATTCATGCGAGTGTTAGAAAAAAATAAGGGGGCCGGGAAAAACATAATTCTTTCAATAATGTTCCTCCAAATACAACAGAACTTTCATGTGTTCTTCCCTAGAGTCCAGTGTAAGAATCACTGAGGTAGACCGTGATCCTGAAGCCTGGGAATGGTCAGGCCTTCTGTAAAGTGTCCCCATCCGCTGGTTGCATGGCAATCTGAGATGCAGCGTGTTCTGGGGCACATGAGGACCCCCAGGCACTCTAACTGAAGAGCCCAAGAGATGAGCCACTGGAAAGGTCACAAGTATGACTGACGTTGAGCTGACAGGAAGAGGGAGCCTACTGTCACCGTTAGCAGTGTTGGAAGGCAGCAAACATTCTTCAAAGAAGAACTTTTAAATTTGAACACAAAATCACATATTTATGAAAGCATCTCGATTTGTCTGAAAGTCTGTTTCATCAATTTGCTAACTGCTCTTGGCTGCTAATAGAACATCAAGCACAAACATCATCGACTCTCACAAAGGAAAAGGTCGGGTGAGGCCACAGAGCAGAATTAGTCAGCCTGGTTTCTTTTTACGTGTGACGAGCACTGAGTCACGTGATGCTTACAGTTCATGAAACACTATTTCTGCACCATATGACGGCTTTGTCACGTGTTTTCAAAAGCCACCTTCTTCTTTGTCTAAGCTTCACAAGTCACTGAAAGTATCAGAACCTAAACTTTTAAAATAAGGAATTGGGAAAATAAGAAATTCAATTCAAACTGAAAACCCAGAGTTACAGAAAGATAATGCAAACTTTTTCCTTCTGAAGACCGAGGAAATAGCTGAAAATGTTTCTAGAGCTACAGGATTTTTTGTAAGAAAGAATATTTCTAGTTTTACAGCAATTATTAAAGCTGAATATCAGAAGCATGTTAAAAATATAAAAGATACATTTCTGTCTTCAACGTGTGGCAAAATATTATGAAACTGAACAATAGTCATATCTGGATTTCTTCGCCACTAAGTGCAAACAAATTTCATGGAGTCAGGACATTCTGTTATTATAATATTTGATAACTGTACTCATTCACATTAGTCAATAGTAGCATTGCAAAATTGTATCTGAAAAAGTAATTAATTAATCATGATCATGACCTGTGATAACGAGAAATAAGCTCAAGTGGACTCAGATTGGAAGTTTGTCAGCAGCTCTACGAAAAGGTGACTTGTTTGCATAACTGAGGCTAACAGCAGAGTGTGCCAGGAAGGACTATATGTCATCCTGGCCTTAGCACGCTTGAGCCAGGTCACACCTGGGACTTCATTGCACTGGGATGTAGTCTTCTCATCTGATACCAGGCTAAATGATCGCTAAATTCCTTTCCATTCCCAACAGCTGAGATTCTGACTACACTATTAACATAACCACTCGGACATTTTGTTTTTTAAAAAGCTAATTTACTAAACACATTTTGTTTTGCCTATTTTTTTTTTTTACTTTTGATCTGCTACACAAGAATTAATTTCATTCTTTGAAAAAAATTTCTGGTTGGCACCACTTTACATATCCTAATGAGTGATTAGATCTGGGTGATCATCAATGGCTGTTAACACTCAAAATGAAAGATGGCCAGACAGACGAGCCTCCAGATGGAGCAGCCGTCACCACCCAGGAAGCACGTCTGCAAAAAGGGCACAGACATGGCCACGCTGAACCTAATCAAGTTCCTACATGACAGGGCAGAGATGCAATCAGCCAAAGCCAGACTGTGGGATACTAACGGACAAAGGAGCTCAGCTTCCTCAGCAAAACACTGCCAATACAAAAAGGAAATATGAAGAAGACACCTAAAGGGACTTGAGACGTATCAACCAATCAGAATGTCTGGACCTTATTTGGATCCATATTCAAATTAACAAATTACATAAAAAAAGATCACTATTGGGGAAAGTGAACGCTGACCATATGCTTAATTATTTTAAGGAATTATTTAATTTTTGTGTGCATATGAGTTAATGACATTTTTAGGTCATTCTTTTATGGATAGATAATATTTATGGGTGAAATTATATAAATCTAGGGTTTGCTTCAATACATCAGAAGGGCATATGGGGCTATAATTTTAATCAAACTGGCCATAGATTGATAATTGCTGAAACTGGGTGATGAGTGTATGGGGGTTCATTATATCAGTGTGACTTTTGTATGTGTTAAAAATGTTCTTTAACAGAATGTTCATAAAAATGTTTTAAAAAACTATAAAGTTTCATAAGTTGTATAAATAGTAAACACGCTTTAAAATTCCAATATGTTGCTAAATGCTTCTGCTACCTCATAACTATGAATTTTCTTCTCTGCAATAAAACGTTTAAATAAAAATATCAGCCAATACAATTGTTGTAACTCTTTCCTTGATAGACTAGATTGCTCTGAACAAATACCTAAGGTTTAGAGATTTTCATAAGCAAACATCATATGTAGAAACGTATCAGATTATGAAGAAAGCAAGTCCAAGCAATTTTCACCTGTCATTCAAAGATAAAAATGCTTCCTTGGAGTAATAGAGAACTCATCAAGCATTTATTAAAATCCTCCCATTTGCCAAGCAGTCATGGCACACTTCTTTATAAATATAAAGCCAATGGTATTTCTATCACGGCTGTCCATTGGTACAGAAAACTCAATAACTACCTTACATACTTTCTAAAAGTAGAAATGTGAAGAGCACAACATCAAATAAACATGTACACATACAGAGAGATGTGTGTGTGTCTATCAGAAGCAAAGACATATCAAAGACTCATGGTACAAAAGGCTCTCCTCATACGTACCAGGATAGAGATTTTATCAGTACTGGAAAAAAAACCTAACCATAACATCTGATAGCATTTATGAAGACTTTTATGTGATACCATTATTGTCTCTAAAAGTTTAAAATATTGCATAACATTAGAAATTTATCTTAATCCCAGAGTCATATATTAATTAAGCAACTTTTGTGGAAAAATGTAATTTATGAAGAGTATTAAGTGGGCAAGAAGACCTTGACAAAGTATATTTGAGCTCATAACAGTAACAAACTAGATGTCTTTTTGTGTACTGATTTTTTGTCAGTTTGATGAAAAAAGTAAACATGTATTTACTGTAAATTGCACACAATATTATCACTGGAGGAAACTGAAGGAAGGGAACACAGGATCTCCCTCTACAGTTCTGACTGTTTACTTTTGCAATTTCCTGTGAATCTGTAATTATTTCAAAACAAAACTTTTTTTAAGTAAAGCGCATTGAAATTGCTAACAGCACTCTGTAGGGGTAGAGAATAAGCTCATTCATGCTAAAACCAAAGATTTTACAGTGACAAATCCTACCAATCTACATGATTTCTACGTGCGACCTGATCTGCTTAAACAAATTCTAACACAGCCACATGCACGCAGAGGCAAATCCGGAATGTAAATGGTGAGCTTCCTGGTGCTAGGGGCCCTGTCTGATTTGTCTCTGTGCATCTTCAGTGCCTTGGACAGTGTCCTAGGAACAGCAGGGCTCGACAGCTACGGAATCACTGGTGACTAGGAGGAGGGAAGAAAGAAGGGTGGGTGCACATAGAGAAGTGCCCACTTTTCCTTAGCTGTACACACATCCTTGTTAGGAGACCATGCCTCTCTGGGGACCTCAAAACCCCTGCAATAATGGAAAAATCCCTGGTACAGTGCTGTTATCCTAGTTACCAGGTACAATACTATTCCAATGTACAGAAGCAGACACCAGGGCAGCTACAATTCTAATGAGGATTTGGGGAGCAACAGTAACTTCTGCCATGCTGGGATCAAGGATATCTTTTTCCCCTAGTTGCTAGGGACACTACTGCGCTCTCCTGGTCCTGAAATGGAAGGTTTTTAAGCGAATGGGTGCTGAGCAGTGGGGTGTCTCTAGAAGAGAAATTTGCGTGCAGGGGAAGGAAGGCTAATGGTTGGGAAGATTGTTCCACTGAGCCTCCCAACCTTCCTGCACTAGCAATTCCAGCACCATACGCTCTGAGCTGATGGGTCAGGCAGGAGCAACTGGCCCTACTACCAGCCAGAGGACACAGTTCATTTCAGCAGGTCCAAAAACAAAAGAGCTATGACTTCTCTGACCGTCCAGCTCTGGGAGCATAGCTAAGATGGAAGGACATCAAGAAGTCAAGGCTCTCCCAAAGAGATGGCCCAATACCTCCCCAGATCGCACTGTGTACATCAGCAGATTCCAAAGTCATTTCCAAGGGCAGAAGTGACACTTCCTTGAACACATTATTATTATTTTTTTTGACAGGCAGAGTTAGACAGTGAGAAAGAGAGAGAGACAGAGAGAAAGGTCTTCCCTCCGTTGGTTCACCCCCCAAATGGCTGCTACTGCCGGCGCGCTTCGCCGATCTGAAGCCAGGAGCCAGGTGCTTCCTCCTGGTCTCCCATGCAAGTGCAGGGCCCAAGCGCTTGGGCCATCCTCTACTGCACTCCCGGGCCACAGCAGAGAGCTGGACTGGAAGAAGGGCAACCGGGACAGAACCCGGCGCCCCGACCGGGACTAGAACCCGGGGTACCAGCACCACAGGTGGAGGATTAGCCTAGTGAGCCATGGTGCTGGCCCCTTGAACACATTATTAACCACTGAGAAAACAGCCTCAAAGCAACTGATACTATTTATGTCCCCATAGTTTTATCTTGATTAAGGAGAGTTATCGGGATAGGCATTTGTGGCATAGTGGGTAAAGTCACCACCAGCAATGCTGGCATCCCATATGGGCACCAATTTGAGTTCTGGCAGCACTACTTCTGACCCAGCTCCCTGCTAATGGCCCAGAAAAGCAGCGGAGAATGGCCTGAGTACTTGGGCCCCTGCACCCGTGTGGGAGACCTGAATGAAGCTCCTGGCCAGCCTTGATTGTTGCAGCCATCTGGGGAGTGAACCAGAAGACAGACAGCACTCTCTGTAACTCTGACTCCCAAAATAAATAATCTTTTTTGTTTAAGGGAAAAAAAGGAGAACTATCATTTATCCAGGGCCTTCCATGGGCAAAGCAGTTTATATACCTTATTGCTATTAGAACTTTGTAATGCATTTCCTCATGGAAATAAAGTTGTAATGGCCCAATTTGGCCCTCCTTCCAAATAAGCCTATTTAATCCATAGCATCCCTGAGGTACAGTGTTGTTACCACAGGAGCTAGTTACCAGACACAATACTATTCTAATGTACAGAGAAGACACCAGAACAGTGCAATTCTAATACGGATTTGGGGATAGTAACTCCTGCCATTCCGGGATCAACAATACCTTCTCACCTCCAGGTCACACTCATTAGCTGGTCTTTGTCACCAGAGAATCCCCAGGCTTCAGGCCAAGGAAAGTAGCAAGAGCTCAATTGCTCCAAAATACCCTCTAGTCCTGCCTACCATACACCTTAGGATAGAATGGGGTTCAAGGGTAGGAGAGTCTCAGGCTTTGGCAGCGAAAGGAAGGGGTACTGCTGAAGCCACTGAGCCAATCAACCAGCGCTACTATTTTTACAGCAGGTCATAATGACCCCGGGCTGCTGAGACCATCACGTGAAAGCAGGTGCCTGCGCACTTCCCTGGAAATGGCTTTACCTACCAATCAGGTATTTGACGATAGCTACAAGTTAAATACAAAGGGACATGAAAAAGTCTCTGGCGAAGCTGAATTAAAAGTTAGGTTTATTTGGTGCAAAAAGTATTGTGAAATCCATGCATACCTTTTTCCATGAGCTTTTGAAAGACCCCTCACATGCATGGATTATATTTTTCTCCACCAAATAAGTGTACCTTTTCATTCAATTCTGCCAAGAACTTTTCAAAGTACTCTCAGAAGAGAGACACAAGCTAACATGAGACCATTACCAGAGTCAAATTTTTCCAAATGGAACAGGAAGACGTTTAAGAATGATTTTTGCCAGGACAAAGCTGTCTTCCCCTCTTTAGAAAGGAAAGTCTGCAAGCCCAGGCAATGCTGCACCATTGAGACACAGTCGAGCCTCTTGTAACATTCACGCCCATGACCCTGGCTCAAGACGGCACAAGAGATACACAGACGCCCACGTGGGAAGTTGGGTTAGTGACTGGGAGAACAAAGCTTCCCGGTCCTGACCTTTTGCTCCGTGAGCTGGAAAGGGCAGCAGAGAAGCTGGAGGGAGACCTTCAGGCCCTGGAGAAAGAAAGACCTGAAGTTCGTTCTCACCATTGCAGAAGGATACTCATGCTCACCCAAGGTGGGGCCTGGCTCTCAGCTGTCTTGTCATACTTGTCAGGAAATTGGCATGCACTTATCTTCATAGCACCTCTTGCCACCAAATTTCTTTTTTGGTCATTTTTCTCCAAGTTCCTCAGGGAATGCTGACAATCTGATTTGGTTCATTTTAAAAATTAATTATGAACTTCGAGGAGGCAACACTTTAGAAGTATATGGAGATACAGCAATGTGGGCCACCCATGAGACAGTATCAGCATAGCATGGAGGCTGGCAGTCACCTATCCAGTCACATACAGAGAGTACACACAACTTACTAAACTGCAGTGGAGTAAGGTAGTATCACCAAGAAAACACTCGCAAGTTTTGGTCACCACCTCTGTCTCAGCATGGGATACAGAGCAGAAAGGAAGCTGCTGCAGAGCCCGCCCAAGCCCCGGTTCCTTCCCTGCTCAGTGGGATGGACTTCCTTACTTGACTTGGACAGTTGCTCATCCTGGGAGATGCCAAGCTCATCCGACTCGCCCGACAGCTCCTTGATGAAGTTGGAAGGAAACATTCCAGTCTTCCCATTGAGAACACCTTCCCACCATCCTTCTTCCACCTGCACAGAGGTAAAGAGAGTAACAGAGAGGCAGGTTCAGGTTAGACACCAGACTGGTTTGTCTCCCTTAGCTTTGGTACAGTGTGCAGAGTCCCCAGAGGGAGAGCAGACAGACCTAAAGCTTAAAAGTTAACAAGGATGGGAGGGTGAGGGTGGGCATTTGCCCTAATGGTTAAGACACTAGGTTATGATGTCTATGGATAACACTGGAGTGCCTGCGTTTGAAACCTGATCCCAGCTTCCCACTGCTGCATATCATGGGAGGTAGCAGGTGATGGCTCAAGTAACTGGGTTCCTGTCACCCATGTGGGAGACCTGGATTGAGGTCACTGCTCCTGGATTTGGGCCAGCACCGTTATCTGCAGACATTTGGAGGAATGTATCAGAAGACGAGAGTATGTTCTCTCTCAGGTAAATACACACACACACACTCTTTAAAAAGTCAACATGGAAAGACAAAAGAGCTCACACAGTCTCGAGATTCAGAATGTGGAGTGAAGGAAGGAGGCTAATGTGGGGTGCATAAATACAAATGAGAAAAAAATTAACACTTTATTTTTATTACAAACTCAAGTGAAATTTGGCATTTTCTTTGCTTATGAATGTAGATAACACACCAATGCTAGAAAGACCTGTGATTCATCATTGAACAAATCACGGATATTGTTATTTCATAGCATAAACAATATGGGTAACTCAAACTATCATTTGTACTTGTCACTTCTTTGAAATGGTGATAGTTACTATACCTACTGGGAGACCTTTGTTATTTAATGTATTAATAAGCGAATGCAAAGGTTAGTAAGAAAAATTTGCTTTTGAAATAGTTTGATAGCTACTTCAAATACAAATGGTTCTCTTTGTAATCCTGGTTTGTTTTCTTTTAGGTATTTGAAACCTATATTTAAAAACTGAAAACAGTTTCCTCAGACTATCGAAATGAACCAGACAGCCTAACACAAATAGTTAAGAATCCCTGGGGGCCGGCGCCGCGGCTCACTAGGCTAATCCTCCGCCTTGCGGCGCCAGCACACCGGGTTCTAGTCCCGGTCAGGGCGCCGGATTCTGTCCCGGTTGCCCCTCTTCCAGGCCAGCTCTCTGCTGTGGCCAGGGAGTGCAGTGGAGGATGGCCCAAGTGCTTGGGCCCTGCACTTGCATGGGAGACCAGGAGGAAGCACCTGGCTCCTGGCTTCGGGTTGGCGCAGCATGCCGGCCGCAATGTGCCGGCTGTAGTGGCCACTTTGGGGGGGGTGGGGTGAACCAACAGAAGGAAGACCTTTCTCTCTCTTTCTAACTCTGCCTGTCAAAAAAAAAAAAAAAAGGATTCCCTGGGCTCAGAACTCAATCAGGAGGAAGGACCGCTTGCAGGTTTCTAGATTACCCTAGGATGATCCGGAAAGGAGTGGATGCATTAGGGAAGGCAATGAGACTGTAGTCATCTGAGCAGAGAGTGAAGGCTAGATCCAGGTGGACAGTGAGCATGGACAAGGCAGCTTCCGATTGGAGGCCCTGTGACGTATGAGCTGGCCTTGAGTGAGCAATTAGATTTTGTGATAGAATCATTGCAAAACAGCTCAAGTCACAACAGTCAGCTGGCATCTTTGAGGAAAATAAGAGCATTTTGAGAATGACCAAGTATGAAGTTACCAGAACACTGTGGTATGCTACAAAGAGACCTGGAACCTATGCAACTTTTGGCCATATGCATGTAGTACCAATCCAAATCAATAAACACAACTTGATTCAAAGAAAACAGAAAACTAATCAAGGATCCAGTTGAAATCTTATCCTGAGACTTGGCAGTTGTGTGACCTTACTCAAATCCTCCCCACACACACTCACAAGATAAACTATGCTTTATAAGGAGCATAGTTAACACACTTCACAGCTGTCATGAGTTTAGGCAGGCCCTTAATCCATGTTAGAAGTCTAAACACTATGGTTCCACACTGTGGCCTGGGGATACAGAAGTGCACAGGATATGTGAGACTTACACATCCCTCAAGAAGGTGACATTCCATCAAGGCAGGAAGGAATGACTCAAAACTAGCAATGGCAGGTAAATAGATGAGAAAATGCCTCAGCTTAGCACACATCAAGCCTCTTACACAAAATCCAGTCAGTATCTTGGATGCTAGAGGAAGGCTTTGAGAGGAAAAAAAAATCAAAATTTAGGGTAGATCTTTAAAATTAGAAATGACAGCTATAATTAGAAGAGAGACATCCCAGAATGGGGACCCCCAGAATGATGCTCCCAGCCTTTGTAAGGGAAGTCATGAGATAGAGACTTGCAGAGTGACGACATTTGCGTGGTCACAAAATCTTCAGGAAAGAATTCAGACAACAGCATCCGTGCATGACTGTCCGAACAGGCATCCAATCCCAACTCCTGGCATTTAACAGCATTTCCGTTGAAATCATTCCATGTTTCTATGCCAACTCAACTGATAGGCATTACCCTTTGCAGGGGCTTTTTATAGTATTAAGATGGTTAGGAAGATTGTGCCATGAGCCTGAATATCAACAGTCACAGACTGTAGCGTCGGGTCTTTTGTGCTAGCTCTGAATAAGGACGCATTAAATGACCCTCTTCCTCCCAGGAATCCCAGGGCAGGAGCGGAAATCCAAGGGCTTAAACCACAAATGAGCAATCTCTGGCATAAGCCCGACAGCGCGGGGCAGCTGGGCCAACTCCATTGCATTCAGCTGGAAGACCTCTGAGCTGTTCCCGGGCTCGGTGATAAGTGGCTCCAGCCCAAGATTCCTGAGGGATGCGCTCCTGATGTGTAGGATGCGTAGGCTGCCTGCTGGGAAAACTGGACTATCTTTGCCACACCACACCCGCGGCTGCCTGGATTTCTGTCACAGCACAGTGTGCGAGGCGCGGCCTATGGGAAAAGAGCAGAGGTCTGTCATTAGCCGTGTGGGCGGTGCCGAGACATACAGGCGAGCCACCGCTCACAGTGCCTGGGGGTCCCATTTCCCACACAGGGCACCGCGGGCATCAGGCTCTTTCCTCTGAGAGCAGGAGCCCTTTGTGGGGCGAGGGGTCAGCCCTCAGCTCCAGGACTGCTGAGAGCTGTGCAGTACTACCTCTTCCTACAGCCTGCCGCTGTGGTCTCATGGCCCAGGCTGGAGATACAAGAAAAATAACCCTCTCTCTCTCCAACAATTTCTAGATCAGCTTCCTGCCTAAAGAGGAGGACACTAAAGCCCTGGGTCATGACATTGACTCATTCAAGAGTCAAATCCAGTGCCTCACACACTGAATGAATGGGGCAATCACCGGGGCAAAGCCTCACAAAAGGACTTTTTTTCTGTGAGAAACAAAATGGGACCAAGAGATGCTGCCAATGTTGGCCGCCATTCTTAATCTGGTTTTCCCACACCCAGGCCTGTGCATTCCTCCAATTCCACCAATACTGAGTGAGCGCCTACCCTGTACCAAGCCAGGACCTCAGGTCACGTTCCCTGGTGAGCAAAACACACAGAGATCCCACCCTCAAGCCGCTTCCACCACACGAGAGGAACACACGGAGCCTGCGCAGCCCCTGCTTGGAAACCACGCTTGCTGGTGCGTCTGTGCTTAGACAAGGAAACGTGGCCCTCTGTACTAAAGTAGGGATTAAGGTTAACACCAAGGGTTTATCATTTCTGCTCCAAGTACAGCTATTTTTTTTTTATTTATTTGACAGATAGAATTAGACAGTGACAGAGAGACAGAGAGAGAGGTCTTTCTTCCTCTGGTTCACCCCCCAAATGGCCACCACAGCCGGTGCTATGCCGATACAAAGCCAGGAGCCAGGTGCTTCTCCTGGTCTCCCATGCGGGTGCAGGGCCCAAGGACTTGGGCCATCCTCCACTGCCTTCCCGGGCCACAGCAGAGAGCTGGCCTGGAAGAGGGGCAGCTGGGACTAGAACCCGGTGCCCATATGGGATGCCAGCGCTGCAGGCAGAGGATTAACCAAGTGAGCCACAGCGCCGGCCCCTCGAAGTAAGGGGGCATCTGCTCACCTTCTCCCAGCTCCCCTCATCACCTGCACACGCATGTGCACACACACACACACACACACACACACTCTAACAGTCTCTGCAGGCTTTGGCTCTAGGTTGAGACCAAATTCTGCCTGTGTCCCATCATAACCAACCCAGCCAGTTCTGGAACCCACTGCTGTGCTCCAAAGCCACCTGTGACCCAGAGCCAGAGGTGGGCACTTATACTTGAAAGTGTCTGAGAAAGAGTAAAACCATTTAAACAGTTTGTCTCCGAGTGCCCTGCAATTTTCATGTCTTTACAATCAACAGCATCGAAGTGGGGTCAGAATCCAAGTAGGCAGCTTCTAAATTTTAGCCCTGTGGGTGGTCAGAGAGAACAGGTGACTCAACACTCCCACTCCTACTCCCACTCCCACCCCCACAGAATCTTGCAAACATTACCTGCATTTGTAAAGCATGAAGGCAAATGGCAGGAATGAAAAGAACATCCCCCTGAAGGGTGGCAGAGAGGGACCACACCCGCTACAGCCTTCTCATCCAGTGAACCTTTTGTTAGCCAAACCCCAGTTAACAGCACACTGGAGGGCAGGGTGTGAAGGAAGTAAGTGGGAAGGAGAGGTACACGGGCACACAGAGCCAACATCCATTTCAAGAGCAGTGGTACCGCTCTTCGCATCGAAGAAAATCAACATGTAAGGAGGAAAGGCCTACACCTGACCATCCCAAAATTTTCTTCTTTTCTTTATTCCCCAGAAACAAATAAGAATTTCAATACTGAGAAACATACCTTTCCTATGTGTGAAAGGTAGGGAAAGAGATTTTGAAATTTAAAACTCTAGAAAAATACTGAGTTTGTAAAAAGTGCTTTATAAACTGAGGTATAATTCACATAAATGCACAGATCAATTTTAACAAATGCCCATCGTGACCCACACATCTGTCTGCACACAGAGTATTTCCATCACTCTAGAAAGTTCCTTTGTGCCCCTTTCCATTCAACCCCA